TTTGAGGGCGGCAACGTAGCATTTTCCTGACTCGAGCTGATCACCTCGCGCTACCCCAACTCCGAAGTCCGTGGGGAATTTCATGGCCAGATAATATGTGGAAACCACCGCGCGCAGAGCATGGGTGATGGGCCGACCTATTTTGGCATTGTATGGGGAAGGAGTCGCGACCACCAAAAAGTTGTTCTCGAGCCTCACTATGCTAGGCCAGGTCCACAAATACGAGGACTCTCCCTAAGGGTCTGACTTCCTCTCCGCTGAAGCACACCAAGAGAGTGTTCGCAGGCTTGAGATCGCTCTCCTGAAGCTGAAGTTTGTCAAATGCGGCTTGAAGAGTATGTCTGCCGAACTGTCAGAGTCAATGAGGACACGCTTCACCTCGAAATCATTGATTCTTATCTTTACAACGAGCGCGTCATCGTGGGGGTACTGGACTCCGCGTGCGTCATCCTTGGTGAAGAAGATCGGTTCCTCTGTCTTTGCCCGCTTCGGGGGGTTCTACTCTTCTCTTTCAATCTCACGAGCCGAGGTCCTTGACGCGGCCGAGGAGCAGCCCGCAACGATTGTTCCGCCGGTGATCATTTGGATCGTTACAAGAACTGACCTTTCTTCGGGTGGCTGCCTCTGCAGTTGGTCACCTTGCCTGTTGCTAGACTTGGGAGCATCTCTACCTTTCTCCCCCTGCTGCCCTATGTTATTATCATTTTGTACAAATTTTCTTAAATATCCACGACGGATGAGTTCTTCTATCTCATCGCGGAGGTTTTTACAACTTTTGGTACTATGACCGTGATCTCTATGGAAATGACAATACAAATTTTTATTTCTAACATTGGGGTCTCCTCTCAGCCGAGGTGGCCACTTCACGTATGGCGCGTCCTTGGTCGCCATGAGAATCTCAGCTCGCTTCGCGTTCAATGGTGTGTAGTTTGGCCTTTCGACTAGAGGAGCTCAGAAAGACTGATCTGGCCTTCCTCCCCGAGCTTGGTTCTTTTTCTTCTTGTTGTCCCCGTGGGTTGAGGACTCGCCTTCTCTTTTCCTCTTCTCAGGTGAGTTCTCGCTCTTCTGGTTCATCTCCTCCTCCATTCTGATGAACTGGTCCGCAAGCTTGAGGAACTCGATTACATCCTTAGGTCTGTTGACAACCACGTGCCACTTGAACTCCTTGTGCATTATGCCTCTCTTGGCTGCTGTGAGTCTCACCGCGGGGTCCAGGTCGGGTATCTGCAGACATGCATCCTTGAATCTCTTGATGTAGCTGCAGATGGACTTCCCTTCCCTCTGGACTATGCCGAGGAGGCTTTCTTGGGTCCTCGGGCATCTTGCTGGAGACAAAGTGGGAGGTGAAAACCTGCACGAACTATGACCAACTCTTGATCGTTCCAGGCACGAGGTTCCTGTACCACGTGCGAGCTACTCCCTTGAATGTGGTGGAAAGGCTACACACATGCAGGACTCACTTGTTCGGCTGAGTGCATCTGCAATTGAAAGGCATCTACATGATCATTCGAGTCGAATGATCCATCATACTTGTCTAGGGGAGGTACCTTGAAGTCTTTGGGTATTGGGACAGCCAGGAGTTCGGGAGACAGGGGAGATGGTACAGAGGAGCGGAGTGGCTTTCACTGCTCCCGAGCTCGCCTCTTATTTGGGGAGCTCGGGCAGGTGTTGGGCTGTAGCTCGGCGAGCTCGGCAGCGTCTTCACTGCTTCTTTACTGGCTTTGCATTGGTGCTTCCGGATTCTGTGTTGTCGGGCACAGTAAGCCCAGGGAAGGGCTCGGACTGCTGCTGATGGCTGTGGACTAAAGGGCCTTGTCTATAATCCGCAACCAAGACCTCGAACTGGTTCTCGACGAGTGGGATCTTGAACTGTGAAGGCCGAGGTGATGCGGGCCTGGATGGCTGAGAGTCCCCCGACCTGACTACATGCTGCGAGGTGGGGGGAGGGGCTTGTCTTTCCCTCCAACGGGATGAGGCCTGACTCCCAAGAGGGTTATGAGTTTGGGAGGTCTCTCCCCGGCGAGGGGATTGCTCGTTGCGATGGCGGGGCTTGGCCTACTGCACAATGGGGTATCAAGGAGGAACTTGTTGCTGGTTCTGGGGTAGTGGTGGAAACTGTTGTTGATGGACGTAGTGCAGCACTTGCTGCTAATACAGTTGAAACTGTTGAAACTGTTGCATTTGAGCTTGCATAGCTCACATGCAGTGCACTAGGTCTTCAAACTGGTTTTGACCGGTCACTGGAGGAACAATGGAGGGTTCGACGAAAGTTGCTCCTACCGTGGAGGGGAGTGGAGCGTTCATAGGTGCCATTATCTGAGGCACGTTCGGAGTAGGAACTCCATCCACAGAGAGGGGGACGGTGAACTGTCCAATACTAGACATGTTCATGGGTCGGGCCGGGTTGGGCTCGAGCCGGGCTTTTACTCTTCATTAACGGAAAAATGTTAGGCCCGAGCCCGAGCCCGGCCCGACCAATGGGCCTACAACTTGGGCCCAAGCCCGACCCTGATAAAAAGCCCGAAGCCCGACCTAATAAAAGAAATTAGAATTTTTCCTATTCAAATGGACATTATATATTTTAATCCAGATGTTTTTTTTCCCTATTTAAATGAACAATGGGCCTACAAGATGGGTTTTTTCCCTTTCTTTTACGTCTTAAAACACAGTTTTACATTCTTAAATAAAAAAATTTATTCAAATGGACATCACATAACCCATTTTAATTTCATTCTTTTTTTCTTACAATCAAGTGAATCAACAACCTTCTTTAAGGTTGTTTAATATATTCCCTGTTGTTTGGTTGTTTCTATACAACCAAGGCAAACCTAAAATGAAACACATAAGAGCAAATCATATAGGTTCATATTCCTACAAATAACATCACACATTAAAATTAAATTCATATAACTTCAAGTTCATGTTCCTCCAAAGTCATAAAAAAATAATCTGAATAAGACAAACAAAATCCATAAAACATRTTYTCCATCCATTCTWGAATTCACCAACAAGATGGAATATTCCAACTCTCAAGTTCCAAGCCATTTCAAAAAATAAAATAAAAGACTCCATTGCCCATATGATCATATCAAACAAAACAAGTTCTAGCCATCTCCATTCATTCTTGAATTCACCAACAAGATTAAACATTCCAACTTCCAAGTTCCAAGACATTATACAAAAGAAAATAAGAGATAAATTCAGTACCCATGTCACATATAATTTGTTATCATGTCAAATGACAAATAAATAATGGAAATATATRTTATTATAATAYCTAAARYATATCATCAAGTTCAACATTTTCATCATCATCATCACTACTATTTGATTCTTCATCATCTTCTAACAAGCTTGATCCTGAAGAAGCCCCTAACAAGCTTGATCCCCCTGCATACAATTGGAAAATCTATTAGAAAAAATTCAATGAATCATATATTTTAATGCTAAATGCAGATTCGGATGCAACTGTGAAAATAGGAATAGCCAAAATACCTCAAGCCATTGATGCCAATTCAGGATACCTAAGTGAACTCTTATTCCACTACTCCAAAACATCAACATCTGCTTTAATATCAATGTTTTGTTCCTCCAAGTAAAGGTCTAACTGAGTTTTTTCACTTTGAATCTTTTTTTTTTGAATTCAAAAATTGCTCATAATCCTCAAATCCATCACCATCATCATTTCTCTTACTCATGTCAAATTGACTAGAAGATCCAACAAAGGAGGTGGAGTAAAAATTTCTTTGTATTCATTAAACAAATCATCGAGAGTTTTAATTATAGCATTAACATGTTCCTCCGGTTCATTCCCATAAATTTTATCAAAACAATACTCCACTAACCTAATCTTGCAACGAGGATCCAACACAGCAGCACAAGACAAAATCATACTATATTCAGCCCAATATTTATCAAATTTCTCCTTCATTTTTCTATCCATGTCAGTCATAAAATTTTGAGGTTCCTTACTCACTAACATCAAATGTCTATGAATCATCCACACTCCCTTGAAGTAAATGTTTGAAGTAGGGTACTTAGTGGCAAAAAACATGCAAGTAACATCATAAAAAACATTTAAGAACTTGTGAAGCTTATCCACCTTTTCCCATTCTTCTTCTGAAAGCATTAACATTTTAAAAATATTATCCCTTTGCCCCCAATGTTGTAAGACTTGCTTATAATAAATGGCATGTTCAAGCATCAAATAAGTTGAATTCCATTTCACACACATATCTAACMTCAATCTTCTAGTTGTGTTTAAGTGAAAACTTTTTTTAGCAAGTTCATAAAATCTATGCTTCCGGGCAGCTTATTTCTTTATATTTTTCACACCATCCCGAATCTTAAAAACAACATCATCAACAATATTCAAACCATCTTGCACAATAAGATTCAAAATATGACTACAATAACGAAGTTTGAAAAAATCACCACCACACACCAAAGATTTATGTATTGAAGATCTCAATTTCAAAGAGTTAGGCATCACATGGAAAACAAATTGCAGATTTGCAACATTACCAAAGTCAAAATACAATGTTTTTGCTTTAGGAATTAGGATAATCAAATCTAACAGTTTCAGCACTTTTGAATGACAAACTAAGCCAATCCCTAATGCATTATGTTGTTTTTATCATTCTCTAACAAATCTCTAATAGCATTCAGATTTAGGACAAACAATAGCATTCAGATTGAATTAGAACATACAAAAGGCCCAAATAACTAACACCAATAGAACAAGCTTAGTTTGTTTACTCTTTTCTACAGCTTCCTCAATTTTCTACACATAGAAGCAAAACAATAGACATGAAAATTAACTACATCAGATAGAAAGGCCCAAATAACTAACAAATAGATCTATATTTAAAATACAAGATTCAAGAGGACAAGGTGACTGGGGTGATAGGAGCAAAAGGAATTGGAAGATGTGGAAGAGTCAGTATGCTGGCATTCGAATTCAAGAGTAGCCCTCCACATGATCTTCAAACGTTACTGCAATGGATGACTTTGTTATTGAATGTCCATCGCTAGCTGGACAAAGGAATGTAATTATAAGCTCTGTGGGACAGTGGATTGTAGGTGCCATAGAGAATAACGATATGAGGAACATCTTAGAGAATCCGTTATCTTATAATTTAGGTGCCCTAGATCATGACACCAACATAAAGAAAGCATGGTCAATTGGAATTAAGGGAAAGAAATGTCCTAGTTTCATGAGTTCTCCTTCAAGCGTAAGTATTAGTTCATCACAGAACCTTGATAGGGAGATAGAACCTCAAGGAAATCATGGATATAGATCAGAAGCTATGCATAAGAGGCTTGTTTCTGTCTCAAGTTCAAACTCAACATGTTCAGATCAGTCTTCTCCATCTGCTTGTGACACCATTTCTCAGGGAATGCTTCATTGCACATGGAAAAGTGGAGTTCCATATTTTGTGTTCTCAGTAGAGGATCAAAGGGAGGTTTATGTAGCAAACMTGTGGGTTGTTGAATCATCAGATGACAAGTCYCTGGATTATATGTACACATTCCATTCAAGAACGGATGGYCCAAAGGAACAGGTGACTTGTAGTGTGTCAGATCTTGTTGGTAAGATGAAGGTTTCCAGTTCTTTCAGTATTTGCTCGAACAATTCAAAACTCATAGAGACCGAGTTTGTCTTGTTTGGTGCTAATGAAAACCATTTTCGGGAGATGCAAATTTCAACCCCTCCTCGCAAGAGGAACAACAAGTTTCCAAAGAGGGTTGTTGATGTATTGGGGACAAACCATCCTTCCAGGGACAGGTCTTCCACCAAATTCGGTGTGCCAAGCTCCATACTTGAAGATTTTGCTTGGGAGCCATGCCAAGATATGTTCAACAAGCTTAATGCATCAAGTAGAGCTAACCTGCTACAAAACCATCTTTTGTCGAATCTTGAGTTGGCTGCCATTGTTGTGAGAGGCTATACCGAAGATGATTGTGAAGAGGCAACGGTCGGAGGTTGGGGCTTGAAATTTCTCAAAAAAAATGGATCTCAGCAGATTAATACTTCAGTAGAAGCATCTGTTTCTTCAGAATGCTGCCCAGATAGTTTCTTGCAAAAGAAAACCAATTGTTCAAGTATGCATGTTCTACTTCCAGCAGGAATTCATGGTGGTCCTTGGACAAGAAATGGTGGCCCTTCTAGTCTTAGTGAGAGATGGAGATCTGGTGGAGACTGCGATTGTGGTGGCTGGGATATAGGGTGCCCTCTCACAGTACTCAATAGCAGAACAAGCATGGAAGAGGTTTCACAAGGAAGTGCACAAGGGGAATGCAAATCATTGAATCTATTTATGCAGGTCCGTAATAACAGTTTTAAGCTACAAAAGTCAACAAATTAACGACATCAAGTAGAAAGGCCCAAATAATAGCATTCGGCAATAAACACTAAACATTGTAATAGAATAAAATGGTAGAGAGGACTCACCGCCGCCGCCAATGATTGTATTCTCTGGTGAGTTCGCGGTGAGTCAGTGACTGTGGTCTGTGAGCTGCGAGCCTGACCTGCATTTTGACAATGATTAGTTTGCGTCAGAGAGAGAGAGAGAGAGAGCTCACCGTCGTCGCCGGAGTTGTTGTGCCGGTGAACGTTCGCCGCCTCGCCGGTTGTGGCTGCCTGAGAGTGTGAGGATGAGAACTGTGGAGTGTGGAGGATGTGGAGATTGGAGAAGAAGGGTTCGGCTGGAAAAAAAGAAGGGAAGGAGACAAAGAGGGGTACTCGAACTCGACTACGGTTTTTACTTAGGTTTAATTATAGGTCGGGTCGGGCCGGACTATTTTGGCAAATCCCGAGTCCGGCTCGAATTTATTGCGGGCCGGGCTTTTTGGCGCGAGGTTAAGCCTACGGGCCCATATACCTATCCAAGCCCGTCCGGGGGCCGAGCTAGGCCGAGCCAGCCCGTCGGGCCACCCGGCCCATGAACAGGTCTATCCAATGCATACTACTAGGACCTGAAGTTGCTCCCCGACGGCATTCATTTCTGCGTTGCGTCCGACATTGCTGGAGGAAGCCATGGAAACTGAAGTTGCAAAGTTTGGTGGAAGAAGGCTTTTCGAAGCTTTCCCACAGACGACGCCAATTGATGGTGTGCGATCTGGTCACTCTTAACTGGCAGCGGCTACGCTCCTAGCTGGCGATGGACGATATACCTGTGAGGAAGAAGGATCCCCGGGGAGCTCTCCCGGCGGGAATACTCCGATGCTTAAGTTAGTAGCAGGAAGAGAGAGTTGTAGAGCAAAAATGAAAGGGCTAGAGTGCAAATCACGCAAGTTACCTTTGCTCTTGGGGATCGGAGCTCTTATATACTAATGTCTTGACAAATCAGGTATAACCGCCTTTGATTCTCTACCGCAGCCGTTACTTGCCAGGGCTGAGCTGGTGGGCGCATGTAACAGTTGTAGAGTACGGCCCTGCCAGACAAAGGACACCTCTCAGGGTTGGCAGGCACGACGACGCCTGGCGAGAGACGTGGGTGCAGTCCCCAGATTTGGCAGGTACAATTGTCAAGCAGGAGATCTTCCTGTGATATGCCGAGCTGCTCTGCCCCGAGCTACCTTGTACCGAGCTACCCTATGCTGAGCTACTTCTACCTAAGGTGGCCTACTTGAGTTTGGACAGGCGAGTTTATTCTTAGGAGGCTGCCGAGCTCAACCCGAAGTGCTTTCAGCTCAGGAAATTCCCGTCTTGTGAGAATCTTAGCTCGGGGCACTTTGTACTTGGAAGAATCTTAGCTCGGGGTAATCGGAGTGTCATCTTGTAATGAGCTGCCATGCTGGATCTTGGCAGACTAATCCGCTGAGTTGTCACTTATGTTGAGTCACGTCCATGCGTCCTCTTATGATGAAGTCGAGCCAAATCATCCTCCATCAGAAACCATGTGGGGATCGACATAGATACCCTTGTCTCTATCGCTGTGAGCAATGTGACCTCCTTGGCTTTGGTGCTCAATGGTGGTGACAAACTGCATACGTGGATTGATTACAACGCCAACTCCAAATACTTGCAAGTTAGGTTGGGAAAATTAGGAAACGTGTTCGTGGGCTTGAGTTCATCTACCGGGAATTCTTCCCAGATCACAACCGTTCATTCATGGAGCTTTACGTTGGAACTTAGAGAGGTATAAGTGGTGGTGGTGCACGTTTTGGACAGCAAGCATTCTTACCATACCATAGTTGTTCATTCATGGAGCTTGGATGTTCTTGTCCGGTGCTTGGAGGTATGTTAGAGATTGAAGCAGTTGTTTGCCTCTCTTTCATTTTCTTGAGAAAGAAGATGATGAACAGTGTCCAAGTGTAATTTTGATATTTTTAAAAGTTTTAAATCGCACATAAGGTCACGTGATATACATAACTAATGGTCCATTAACGGTAGGTACTAGATTGTCGCAAAATGAAAGTTCGGGTACTAGATTGTCACATTTTAAAGTTCGGATACTAGATTGTCGCATTTTAAAGTTTGGATACTAAATTGGCACTCGGCCTAAAGTACAGGATACCTATCGGGAATTTTCCCTAAATTTATATTAGATTGGGTTTGATTAAGCCAATATCCGGTCCATTGATATAAGATAAGAATATAGGCATCAATAGACCGGATTTGAATTGAAACAAATCTAAATTAAAATGAATTTGAACAAATTGGATGGTCCAAGCATTAAATTAGACCAATTCAAAATAATCCAAAATATTTATTGAATTAAATTGAACCTGATCCATTTATAATGGACTCACATTGGACTAGATCGGATTGGACCAAATCCAGTCCAATTGACACCTCTAACAACAGACCGAACAGTCCAACCATTAACCTGAAAACCGGTAGCCAAAACAATTCTGGTTCCCAGTCGGGTTTTAAAACATTGATTTACAGTCAAACTTGAAAATGCGTCTTACACCAAAAGTGAGCAACACGGTGATAATTCAGGAGGGTCCGCATCTATCAATCCGATTGATTTGTGTTACCCACCGGCTGACCCCATGCACGGCGAGATGAATCTGTACCCGGATCTGCTGGATGACTGCTCCCTGTGTTCGCACACGTTTTGCTTTCTCCAAATCCCGTTTCGAAAAATGTAATTCCGTTTCTCCATGATCATCGCTGGACGGGGATAAGATAAACAAACCATTACAGACCAGATCCATTGCCGTATTACTGTTATCCACCATCACTCTGTTGCCTAATGTCTTGTCTGCAATGGATATTGGTTGCCATATCAATGTGGCCTATTAGTATCAATTACTAATATATATATATATATATATATATATATATATATATATATATATATATATATATANTATATATATATATATATATATATATATATATATATATATATATATATTTATTTTTTACATTTAATAATTGGCCCATGTTCGGTATATTGGTTGCAAGTTGCCACTAAAAATCACACCTCAAAATATGTTTTTTTTTTCTCATGTCTTTATCGCCAATTGAACTTTTGAACTTGTGCTTTTAATGTAATTTCTAAGATTTCTATTGATTTTCCTAGTTGATACTGTTACTTATGGCCCCTTTGATTGTTGAAAAAGGATGAGATGAGAAGAAATTTTTTTTTTCTCAATCCTATCACCTGTGTTTGGTGGCTAAGACCAACTATCCTACCAAACCTGGTTCCAGTGTTTGGTTGCTAAGAAAATTTTACAAGATGGTTGAATTCATTCCACTTCGACAAATCCATATAATCTCCAATTCCACAAGACCTATTTTTTAAATGGCATAGTACAATAGTATTTTAATGTTGCCGCATGTAATGCTGACATTGCACAATTAAAAGCTCCTATATATTAAAAACTAAAGAATAGGGGATCTGGGTTGTAAAGACCTATAGGGCACCATGCACAAACCAACATGACCCATTCTATATTCGCTTGGAATGGGCATCACAAATTAAATTCATGAAGGCCTTTATCAAGAAAACACCCATGAATCCGTCCTCTGTTTTGTAAAAATCAATACAGCTCGGCAACTCAAGTCTTCTTCATGTAAATAACTCATTTCAATGGTCAAAACTAACCCAAGACCCTATGCTATGGATAGCCACTAGTTTATGGAATTTTCTAAGATACTATTGCACAAAAAGACATAATTAAAATTCTACCCATAAATGAGCAAAAGTTTAAATTCACTCCAAGTTCTGATCAGAAGACAAAATCATGATCAGTCACCTAGTTACTTGTCATATTCCATGAGATTGTAGTTAAACTTATTTATATTCTTTTGTTTACTTTTATGCTAATCAGATAAGAAACAAGCAAAGGAGATATGCTCATCTGGTAACTGATGTTTTGGCCTGTATAATCTATTTTTCTTGGCTCGTTTTTAGTGAGCTTTGAGGGCTGTTATTTCTGGCCCAACCAGAACCTATCCTTGGAACTTTGAAGGATTTCTTTTTGGATCTTACAATTGATCCTTGTAATCTGAAACCTCTCCTTGGAGCTTTGAGGGTTGTAGTATGAAGTTACTGGTTTAACAGAGACAATATCAATAGAAAAAAAAACAAAAAAAAAATTCTTGTTGTATGAAGTTACTGCTTTAATAGAGACAGAATCAACAGAAAAAAAAAAATGTTTGTAGCATGAAGTTACTAGTTTCACTATCCACCCATCAGAATAATTGTTCCCTAGTAGCTCCTTGTTTGTTTTGGGGCTTCTTACATTAAAATTTTTTTTACCTGCATTCGAACAATTAAGGCCCCGTTTGCTTTGGTAAGTTATTTATCCGGGTAAATGTAATTATCTGGGTATGTTTTTCCTGGGAAACACACCCAGGTAAGTGCATTTACCCATGCTCTTTTATTTCTTGGTAAATAAAGTAATGACCATTTTAGCCTTAAAAATCTATTATTAAAAGGGGCATTTTTGTCCCATTCAAGTGTTAGCAATTTTCCTCTAGGTGGGAAAGTTATTTACCCACCTAAGTAAGTGATGCCCAGAAAAATAAACTTTCCTTGGTCCCCACATAAATCTGAAAAATGAACATGGGATTCTTGGTCATTCCCCCCTCTCAAAATCCAAAAAAAGAACACCCCCTAAGTGATTTGCTTCAAACAACATTTCCCCCTCTTTTTCTACAGGTCTTCATCTTTTTAAAGTTGAATTCGGGCATTTAAGAGAATAGGAAGATACTCTGTTCTGACCTCTTTTTGAAAAGAAATTGAAGTAATGATTGTCTCTGCTCTTTTAACTTCTGTGGTTATCAATCTTAGCCTGTGCATTTTATTTTTCACATTGTATTCTATACTGAAGAAGCAGACAGGTAATGTTAATGCAAAAATACATTTCAAGGTGTTTTTAATTTTTCTGGTATGACAACTTCAAAAGAAAAATGAATAAAAAAAAGATCACAGAAACCCATGGTGACCGATGTTTATTCAACATTTGTTCTGATCCAAAGACAGATAATCATATGAATGTAAAAATGAAACAAAAAATGACAATGCAACATATATAGGGTATGTGATACCTCAAGCTAAAAATCCCCTACTTGATTTGCTTGAGATGACTTGAAACAAATCAAAAATAAAACGCTAGATTTGGAAGATGCAGATGCCAGAAGCCAGATCTGGAGCTCCGACGTTAAAATGAACGTAAATGGCTGTTAATATAGAAGAACAACGCCTTGAATGGTAGATCAACCGTTTTCTGGCAATGAAAATTGGTCTGGACGACCAGGGATGAAGGTAGACAACGTGAAATTTGAAGGGGGAGCTCATTCAATGAAAGAAAACAATAATGGTTAAAAAATGAATGCAAATCACCAGAGGATGCAAAATCTGAGGTTGCCTTCGAAATTTGAAGAGGGAGCTCATTCATCGGAGATGGCACCGGCGAGATGACCATTGGACGGCATGTGATCAAAAGATGACACTCTAGGTTGGCGCTCTTGACATTATTTTCTCACAAATGGCTTTTTTTTCCTTTCTCAGTGGGGTTTCACCATTTTGGTGCGACCCTACATATCAAGTTTTGGGAACCCGCATCCCAGATCTTTCTCTTCCCATGCCATTTTTTCCTTCAAAACAAACACTTGGAAAATCGAATATTCTTTAAAGATTTTTCTCTTCTCAACCCTTTTTCAGCAACCAAACAGACCATTAGAATTTCCAATTAAACGATTACAACCAATCATACTCCAGATTTGATATCTAAAAGATAAATTTCTTAAACTACCCTTAATTTAGATAATTGACTAAGTGCACCCTACTTTGGTGAGACATAGTATCTTTTATACAATTTTTTATTTAAGAAACGATATTCACCAATTTTCTTTACATTGTCTAGCCGAGTTTACTCGTTCGTGGGGAGGGATGAATTTCAAAACACAGGAAGTGCACAATCGACGGTATATACCTCGATGGCGGAGTCCCTCGTTAAAAAGTAAAAACGAAAGTCATCTCCTTACAACTCTACCCCTCTCCTCTTTTTCTTTCTCTTTCTCTTTGCCTACGAGGAAAGCAACTCGTTCCAATGCCTCTCTTGCTCTTTTCTTAATCAAAGCAGCTTCTTTTACTCTTCTCCGCCTCAATCCTAGCAGTAGCTGCAACTTTACTCATAGAGACAGCAGCTATGCGAGCAGAAGCAAGAACCTTGGCGGATTTCTGGTCAAATGCACGCTTAACGGAATTGTCCCACCGTGATTCAATCGATTCAAACCTCCATTCGCAGAAGCAAGAACCTTGGCGGATTTCTGGTCAAATGCACGCTTAACGGAATTGTCCCACCAATCGATTCAAACCTCCGTTGAACAGATTGAAGTGGAGGAGCCGAGCAACAACGGTGGTGCTCAAGAATGGAGACTGGGTCTTGGGAGCAGCTAGGCGTTTGAACGACTCGGGTGAAGTTAGAGAGATGAAACTGATCTACTGAACCGAACCCTTCTCTCTCTATTCTCTGTTTTCTCCACTGTTCATATTACTGATATTTGCTCCTTGAATCGAACTTTGACCTCCTTTGCAGCAGTGACCTTTTGGATCGAAGACGAAGGATTCAGGGAGAGAGAACTCTCTTCTGCGTCCATTATCTCTTATTCTTCGGTATTATCGCTTGAGAAAATTTTCCAAGAGAAGAAAGGAAGAGAGGTCAGCAGGGGCTTCAAATTTATAGAACTAAGGTTCAAAATATAGATACACCCGATAGGCCGCTTGGGGCTTATCGAGCGAATCAATACATATTTTTATTGTTCTTTTTTTATTTTTTTCGCAATCGGTTTAAGAGGTGTATCGGAGGGGTCCCCAAACGATATATATTGACTGATACGGGCTGATATGCATCGATACTTTGAACCTTGTATTAGAAGCAAGAGATATATATAATGATAAATGACGAGGAAGAGAAGATGAGACAGTAATGTGATGACTGATGAATTTTTCAAATGGGAGGGAGAGAACGAGCAAACGAACGGAAAGGCAGCATACCAGACACAAACAGAGAGAAAGAGAAATAGAGAGAGAAATGTTCTCTCATTTCGTTCCTTCTGTTTTGATATATAGATGCAGATGCCGGTGCGGTGCCGGAGATAATCAACTTTGAGCCCACTCTCTCACCCTCTCGTGATTGGCTCAACCATAAATGGGCATTTGCAGAATCACCTCTCCCGAAAAGGGCATTTTCAACATAAAAAGGTAAATTGGGTATTTTGAAAGTTTATAACAGTGAACAGTTTATGACGACCATTAACGTAAAGAGAAGTATTAGTCAATTGTCAGAACAGTAGGGATATCATTAGTCAATTTTCAATCAGTGGGGTATACTTAGTCCAATAGTTAAACCATAAGGGTAGTTTAAGAAATTTACCCATATCTAAATCCAGCAAGTATAAAAGTTTAGAACCCAGAGGATGGGAGCACATGAGGAGGCATCAATGAAGTTACAGAAAGCAAGACATGAGCAATGTTCTTAAGACGATTCCAATCAGGATGAGATCTTGCACTGTCAAAAAGAAGAGATTCCAACACTAAAAAATATGTAGATTTAACTACTTTCTCATCTGCAAACGGGAGTGCGGGACATACTCCTTCGAAAGTGCTGAGCAACTCTACGCCCTATTTCAAAGGGCCAATATGATGCCTAAACCATTCCTTTCCGATTCTCTTTTTTATTCGCCATCTCTTATTCTATGGAAGAGAAAAGGGCAAAATAATTCGCAGCCAGGCATGTGGGAAATTATTCACCCAGATGAGAATTGATGTCTAGAGATGGACATCCCTGCCTTTTCTCACTTTTCCCTAAAAACGAATAGCGCATTGAGTGAAGGAAGAGGATGCTTCAAAAACTTGACCACTAGTGCTTCATGAGATTACGGATGACATATGGTAGAATGCCTCCATTGTTGAAATATTCCAATTCCACCTGCAATCTCAAAGTGAGCAAAGGTAGACATAACTTATCTGTAGATAGTCAAAGTCCAACAGTCAAGTAATAAACTAATAACCAGTCACTAATTAGAAATTTGGAAGTCCAAGGGGCAAATCAGGTGAATGGATATTTGTTACAGAAGCAATGGTTTTGGAAACTAGCCCATCAAGACATATGCTCAGAAAGTACCTCTGTATCAAAGCGCACTGTGCATGTGAAAGATTTGCCAGTATCGGTCACTACAGTAACATCCTGACCAGGCCGTATCTCACTAATTTTGCTTGGAAGATCAATGGTGTAACGCTCATGACCTGTCAGACCCAGTGTTTCTGCATCCTCACCAGGCTTGAAACAGAGTGGAATTATACCCATCCCAACCAAATTACTGCGATGGATTCTCTCAAAGCTCTTGGCAATAACTGCTTGAACTCCCTGATAGAGAAAAAGGAATTAAAAATAAAACAGGAAAAAAAAGAGAGAACACAATCCGGTGATCACTAGAAAAAGAACAAAACAGACAAGAAAAGATGTCACTTTATAGAGAGAATAATCAACTTACCAGTAACATGGGGCCTTTGGCAGCCCAATCTCGAGAGCTTCCACTACCATATTCTGTTCCAGCTAGCACAATTGTATCTTGACCAGCAGTCTTGTACCTCTGGGAACACCACATTGATGACAACAATTTAGCGAATAACAAGGTATAAAATTGTCATCACCCGAGATGCACTGCAATGTAATTCTTGAGGTTCCCCAAAAGAGAAAAAGAATAACAAGGGACAATGTAGATGTCTCAAACTATAATTAGTATCTATTATCTGCTTTGCCAGCAGACCTTCATGTATGGATAAATTCCAGAAAATAACAAAAATACGACCAACTAGATATCTGCCATCACAAGTCAGACATCTAATGAAACACAAACACACAAAACCTCTAATGAAACAATAATAAATAAAAGGAGGTCCCTCCCACAGAAGGGCGTTCTGAGAGTCCTGTTTCACTGATCCAGTAAAATTTTTAACCCTCCAACCTATGAAAGTAACAAGTAGAAGAAAAATGGTAAATAAAGGCCACGCTTTATTAAAAAAATGAAAAAAGAGATAGGGCAAAGTGCCATTATGTTAACCAAGGCTGCTAAAACAGACAATTGCAAGAAATCCAATCACAGCTCCTGTTAGAATGGTGTAACAAGACCTAAAAAAAAGAGTATAAATGCACTGTTCATAGATGAATTAACTAAACATATCCAAGAGGAGGCCCCATGGTGGTTGATGTTTGCTGATGACATGGGATTAATTGATGAAACTAATGAAGGATTAAATGCAAAAGTATGTTTATGAAAAAGCCCATTAGAAACAAGAAGTTTTAAAATAAGTAGGACTGAAACAGAATTTGTAATGTAAATTTAATAATAATAGGAGTGTAAACCAGGATACATTTGGGATTGGAGACCAAGAGATAACTCAATGTGACCTCTTTCATTACATTGGTTCAATAGTTCAAATTGAGGAGGATGCCACTCATAGAACTAGAGCAAGATGAGAAAAATTGAGGAGTGCATATGGAGTCTTAGGTGATGGGTGAATACCACTTCGGCTAATAGGAAAATTCTATTAACCGTTTGTGAGGCCAGCTATGTTGTATGGAGCCAAATGTTGGGTAAGTTAAGAAACTCCATGTCCAAAAAATAAATTTTCCAGAATTATGTATGCTTAGATGGATGAGTAGTAAGACTAGAAAAGATAGGGTCTGAAATGAAGTCATATGAAGGAACCTAGAAGTAGCTTCTATAGGTACAAAATGATAGAAAGTAGTCAGAGGTGATTAGGTCATGTGTATAAAAGACCATCTACAACACCCATTAAAAGAAGTGCTCTGTTACAAGTTGAAAGGGATAGAAGAGCTAGGGGCAGACCGAAAAGGACTTGGGTTGAAGTACTAAGAAAAAAGCTCCCATAATTTGACGATGGATATGAAACTGAACAGAACAGAATGGAAAAAAAGCAGGATTCATATAGCGGTAATAGCCAACCCCATATAGTTGGGATAAGGCGTAGATAATGATGCAAGGTGCTCATATCACTGGACTCACCATTGCTGCATCAAAGACATAAAGTTTCTCCCCAGTTGGAATGTGAATTGTCTTTGGGCCAACTTCTCCATTCAAGAGTTTGTTAACTATGCGGATATTAGCAAAAGTGCCCCTTGCCATCACTTCATCATTGCCACGACGGCTTCCATAAGAATTGAAGTCCTTGCGGTCCACTCCATGCTCAATAAGGTATTTGGCAGCAGGACTGTCCTTGTGGATGCTCCCTGCAGGGGAGATGTGATCGGTCGTAATACTGTCCCCAAAGTTGAGCAAACAGTAGGCATCCTTCACTCCATGAGGACCAGGTGGCTCCATGGTCATGCCCTTGAAATACGGGGGCTCATGAATATAGGTTGACCTTGGATCCCATGAGTAGAGATTGTTGCTTGGGACTAAGAGTTGATTCCACATTGGATTCCCCTCTGTAATAGCCTCATAGGTGCTCTTGAACATATCAGACAACACACTTGATCGAACAACCTGTAAAACATTCCAACAAGTTAATCAGGGTTTGATTCACTGGATAAACCTTGGTGAAAAACATTCCCAAAATTAAAGGATCCTACCTCAGCAATTTCATCAGTGGATGGCCAGATATCCTTGAAATAGACAATCTTCCCATCCTTCCCTATTCCAATTGGTTCCTTATCAAAGTCAATATCAACCTGTAAATAGAATTTCAGCACCAAGCATCACTTAGCATATGACAACAGTGAACAGATCAAGTACAAGTATCAAAGTAAAAAATAATGGACAACAACTCTTGATAAATGTGGTTTTAAATTCTGGATTTCACCGTCAAAGAGCTCTACTACATGATCTAAATAGCAGTTTTAATTTCTAAGGTTCAGATAGGACTTCTGAGCATGTTTGGAACAACAAACAAGTGCTTCACTAGCAATATCCAAGCTTTTTCCCAAGACATCAACACCATCTGAACTAGAACAATCTCTGCCAAATACCCATATTTCTCAATTATGGAATTTCCTCTAAAAGTGGTCCAGCCTTTATATATATATATATGTGTGTGTGTGTGTGTGTGTGTGTGTGTGTGGTAAATCATAAGTTTCTAATAGTCCGCTATGCAAAAAAAATGAAGAACAAGACAACATGTGAATGGCAATCTGTCCAATAAATGACCTAAATAACATCAGTAGTCACTTGAAAAAGTATATGAACAAGAACTACAAATTCAGATGCATATATAGAACACATCTGATTTAAAATGAAAAATAATGGAATCTAGGCATGATTAGCTTGACACTGCACCCCCCCCACCCGGTATTTGTAAGTAATACCGTTTTACAACAATTAAAGAAAGAAAAATGAGGTCATATATCTCAATGAGATTAATTTACATACCGTGCCAGCAAGGGCATAAGCAACAACTAAAGGAGGTGAAGCAAGGTAATTAGCTCTTGTCAAGGGATGCACACGACCCTCAAAGTTACGGTTTCCAGAAAGTACAGCAGCAGCAATGATGTCTGCAAAGAACAGGAAATTACATTAAAGTAAAAACCCATTACTTAATTGTGTAATAAATAAAAGAATAAAAATGAGAAAGAATTATAAAGTTATAAGAAGAAAGTGATTAAAACCCATAAAGCACAAATAATAAATCTAAGCAATTTTATCTTTACATTGGAAATGCCTATCCTTTTGTTCAGGATAAGTTTTTGTTTTACTCTACTCTGATTAGTTGACAGAGAAAAGGAGAACAAAAAATAGATAATGCTACCGTTTTCTGAGATTGCAGAAGCAACTGATTCATCAAGTTCTCCAGAATTCCCAATACATGTTGTACAACCATAACCAACAATATGGAAGCCTTGCTGATTCAAATACTTCTGAAGACCACTACATAGAGCAACCCAGTACCACATTTCAGTACTAAAAAGATACACCATAATAAACATAAAACCAATAATATATTTCTTTCACAAAGTTTCTGCTGTATTATAGAAGTACCTTTGGAACAAATATTTTGTGACAACCCCTGATCCTGGAGCGAGACTTGTTTTAATCCATGGCTTAACCTGGTAAATGCACATTTAAGACAATCATCAGGACAAGCCCAAGCAAGAAAACCTTCATCTGAGAGTCCTAATTTATGGTTAACCTGACTCAATTGTGCCAAACTGTGGTCAATACATTATGACAAAGTTCCAAAACAAGAATGAGATATTAGATGTGAAAGATCATTACTGACCTCCAAACCAAGTTCATAGGCCTTTTTGGCAACAAGACCAGCCCCAAGCATGACACTGGGGTTTGAAGTATTTGTGCAGCTGGTTATGGCTGCTATCACAACACTACCATGCTTGAGCTCTGCAGGCTGTCCATGGAATGAAAACTTTGCTACTTTGTTTTGTGACTCCTTTGGTACAGAAAATCCCTGAAAAATAAGAATTATATATAATAAGCAGTTAGCATCCAGATGCATATGATAGACAAAAGAATCACATGAGAAAACAACAAAAAAAAAGACAAACAGCTAAAAAGATTACTAAAATACTGGCTAAAAGATAGCCTTTTCCATGTATCCTGCCCAACTGATCATATCACTTATTAGGATATACCTACTCATACCCAAATCAATAGTATTATGTAGTTTTGTATTTTTTTTCCAACTAGCACAAGGAGTGGGTAACATGAAAACAAGCTGAAACATCCAACTTGAAGACCATGAACAAACTAGATCATCAAGCATCAATGTGGATGCATATGGAAATGTCTACAGCTCACCTTGAATCCAACTTTGTTATCCAGACAAGAACGCCAATCAGCCTTCATTTCCTTCAGGGGAACTCGGTCATGGGGGCTGTGAAAAGTATCAAAATTTCCCATGAATTGAAGATAGCAGAATGGGATCCAAAGAGACTACTATGTCCAAGTACATCAATATTGAACATACCGTTTTGGTCCTGAAATACAAGGTTCAACATCTGCAAGATCTAATTCTAGGTAGGACGAATACACTCTTTCTTGTTGAGGCTGGATCATGGAAAGTTAGAAACATATCATGTTTATTGCACATAAAGCTGCCACTAAACTGTATTCAGAGAGAATAAAAAATAATTCTACCTCATTATAGTCAACAAACATTTTGTTTGCACGCAGATATGCTTCTATCATTGCCACCTAATGGATAAGAGAAGACAGTTACCCTTTATCAATAGAAGACAGTTACCCATTGGTGTAATAGTTTCAAAATTTCATATTGCTTTTCCTTTTTACATGTGTACTTGGGGTGGGTGGGGGCTAAATACTCACTGTTTCATCACTTCTTCCAGTTAATTTAAGGTATTGCAAAGTGACATGATCTACAGGAAAGAAACCCATGGTTGCTCCATATTCAGGAGACATATTGGCAATAGTAGCCCTGTCAGCTAATGATAATTCACCCATACCCTCACCTAGAGTAAAACAACAATTCAGACCATTGGATACAAATGAAAAAATAAGAATGGCAGTTCAAATTCAGTTTTATGGTTATTGCGGTTACCATAGAACTCAACAAACTTGCCAACAACACCATGCTTCCTCAACATTTGTGTAACAGTCAAAACCAGATCAGTAGCTGTGACACCATTGCGCAATTTCCCAGAAAGTTTGAATCCAACAACACCAGGTAACACCATGCTCATTGGCTGTCAATATCAAACTAAAGCTTAAGATGCAAGATTATAGTCAAAATAAAACATACAAATACATTTGTGCTTCTATTTCATAGATAAGGTTTTAATAGCAAATGAAAGACATGCTATGATAAGACATTCAATAGTGTTAGATTCTTGTTGATGGGCCTGCATATGAGCTGAAAGCATCAACATGCACACAGATGCATGCCTACATGTAGAATTAAAAAATCATAAAACAATATACAATATGCTTTTTAACAATTAAAAAACACAACATCATTATAGCTCATAAAATTAAAAAAATAAAAAAGAATTTCAGTACACAGTACACACTAGCCTGGAATGCACAGAATATCTACTAGATATAAAGATAATAGGTATGGAACTTCCATTGGAATTGTCCATGTTCACTGCTGACAATAGTCACCAGATAACATGACACTTGTTTATCAACAGTTCCTCTAGCAAACGTATTTTGTTGGGGGAGGCTGCAACTCATGCCTCTCCGAGGGTTGTATGAGCTTTCAATCTCAAACCTATTTATGATCTAATAAAATTATCATCATTTATCAAAAAAATAGTTCCTCTGGTAAAGTCCATATATAAATGCATGTGCTTCCAGTGCAATGAAGAGCTCCAAGATTCCATTTAGTCACTGTTATTAATACAAGTTGTTGCCATGTAAAACTGAAAATTTTATCAGGCTTCAATCTCATCAAGAGATGAACAGATTGCTCCCCTAACACACTTTACCTGTCCAAGCATAGCTGCCTCTGCTTCAATTCCTCCCACTCCCCAGCCAGCAACTCCTAACCCATCAATCATAGTTGTGTGGGAATCAGTTCCAACCACACTATCAGGATAAAGTATGCCATCAGTGTTGAAAACAACACGACCAAGGTATTCTAGATTAACCTGAAATTTCATCAAAGTAAGCAAATTATTCAACATAGAATAAAGTACAAAAATATAGCATTCAATGGAGAGAAGGCAACAAAATTCTGAATTTCAATTAATTGTTTTTGCCATTTGCATTAAAATTAGTTGAATATCAAAAGAAAACGAGAAGAATAAAACTATGGTGACAATTTGGTACAGCAACATCAAGTTTTATGAGGAAACTAAAGGTAGAAACTGTTTCATGTAAGAAAGAAAATATGATGCAAAACTCCCTTACCTGGTGCACTATACCAGAACCAGGAGGAACAACAAGCATGTTGCTGAAAGCAGTAGATCCCCACTTAAGAAAAGCAAATCTCTCCCTGTTTCTTTGGAATTCTAACTCCATATTCGACTGCACTGCATTCTCTGATCTAGCTACATCGACCTGGACTGAATGATCAATAACAAGATCTACTGGAACCTGGATGTAAGATATTATTTCAGAAGAAAGTGCAAGAGTTATAGAAGAAGGGAAAAGAAAAGAATACCAGGGAAAATGGAATGCAGAACTCTAGGCAGAGATACAAAAAAGTTTAAAAATACAGTGTATCCCCATAAATTATATTTATCAATCAAATAGCAGAAGCATGTACATGCACACACCAAAAGGGGATAAAAGAAAGAAAAAATGAGAGTGGTTCTCCACAAAAAAATGTAACTCTCAATTCTATCAGAAATAATTTACATGTACCACATGTAAATGAAAAAAAGAGCTGATGAATTTATTAAGGCAGAAAAAGAAAGAAAATGAATCTGTACAAAACATCTTTTTATTCAGACACACATATGGAGAAACTGTATCAGTGTCACTTATGTGTTCTTCATTCTTTTTGGGCCTTCCTGGTGAGAAATATATTGGATGCCTTTTCTTTTCTTTAAGAACTACCAAATATCTAAATGCTACGGGGTATGAACATATTAATTATGGAAAATAAAACATACCAAAGGGTTGATCTTGTTAGAATCACCTCCAAGCTTGTTCATAGCATCCCTCATGCTAGCTAGATCAACCACAGCAGGTACACCAGTAAAATCCTGACCAAAAGAACAGGAGTTACAGAAATTGGCAAAAGAAAAAAGAAAAAAGAAAAAAAAAAAAAAAAAAAAAAAATAGAATAGACTGATGTGATTATCAGCCACACAATCTCCACCTGCAATAGAACACGAGCAGGCTTGAAGGGGATCTCAACTTGCTTAGGAGAAGTGTTCTCCCAGTCAATAATCTTCTCAACATCTTCCTTGGTTACTTGAAAGTTGTCACAATTACGAATAGCTGACTCAAGAAGGATCCTGATAGAATATGGTAATTTATCTGCAATGCAAAGGAAACATGAATTTATGTTTTTGAAAGTTGTAAGATGTTGAGTAACTATTGTTGAAGAATCTCATTGCAGCACACAATAGCTATGTGACCGTTGACCAAAGGCATGCTTTAATGCTCCAAAAAAGGGGAAGACAGGACCATTCATGCAGAGCAAAAGAAATGAGCAACCAGGAAATCTCACAAATCCGATGAAGAATTTAACAAGGAAAGAACTATGTTCCACAAAAAACGAATGTTGATAATTCCATAAGTTCAGTTCCCAAATTAACAAATCAAAGAAGTTTAAGTATACAATGAGCATGATAATCAGTAGAAGATGGAGAGCCAGTACTTACGCAGTTCAATCAGCCAAAAGTTGGACACGACTTACCGATTCTGGGATCATTCAGAGCAGGTAGGCTGTAAAATTTTCCAAACTCGCCACCCCCAGGCTTGGGAAGACTGGTTAAGATTCCCTTGAAAGCGTTCTCAGAAGCTGGATCATTGGGATACACAATCAGAACTTAAACCATTACCTCCAGCACCGAAAAACTAAGAAATGAGTAATGAACACACCGAAGACTAAGAAATGAGTAATGAACACACCGAAGTTTTGTCTATATTATGAATAGACAATCCACAAACAGGAAAAAAAAACCTCAGTCAACATATAGAAATGCTTAATTCGGCACACAAAAGCATGAAGCCTTAATACAGTTTTTTTCTCAGGGCGTGGGCCCAATTGTCAAACATGATTTAGAGCACTAATATGCATTTCGTCCTATAAAACCACTATAACCAAACCTGATCGATCAAGAAAAACGGCCAATTAATAATTTAGATACGAAAACTGATCAAAACTTTGGGTATTCAAACAACACGAATACAAAAAGGCCAATGTAAATTCTTCAATGATAAAAATGACACTTAGATTAATTCACTACTAAAAAAGTCAATTGCAGGCTTTGCAGCCTTTGTAGAATCAATCTACAAAAGAAATTCATTAATCCAATACTAGTCCGTTTCCCATAATCAACATACAAAAAGGGTGAAGAACAATATAAAGCTGCAAATGGAAAGTTCATACCCATAGTAGCGATTTTGCGCTGGAAGCGTTCGATCACAGGGGCAGCAGTCCTAATCTGAGCCCTAAGACTAAGAGGAGATTTCCAATCAAATCCGTGGCTCCATCGAGGGGCCGAAGAACGAAGAGAGAGAAACGCGGAGGAGAAGCTGAGGGATCGATATTTGGTGAGAGAAAGAGAGGATTGAAGTGGTGAAGCAGCAAGGGATGTTCTAGAGAGAGACGAAAAAGTGGAAAGAGAGGAAGAGAACCGAGCCCTGGAAGCTCTGATGAATGCAGCTGAAGAAGATGCGGCTATATACATGATGACAGTGAATCAAAACAAAGAACATAGGATTGGGAAAGGATCAGAGGACGTTGTGCAAAGGGATAAGTTAGAAAACAATAAATTTCCAATAATGGAACTAGAGGAAGCTCGAAGATACACTCAACAATCTCCAAATAATGGAACCGAGCGCTTTGTGACTTCTGCAAATGACCACTGGACTCACAATCCTGTCAAGAAATTCCCTTGCATTCATACGCCTCTTCTAATCTTCGTTGCATGCTTTGTATATTATTTCCTTCAAGACGAGCGAGCGAGAGAGACTGAGAGGGAGAGGGGCGTGTGGAAGGCACTGTCACCTAGGGCTGCGCGCCAGTTCCAGTTCTGGAAAACGGGACGGTTGAGGGTTTTGGCGTTTTGCAAATGCCATCACGCATCCCCTTTGCATAGTCCATAACCTATTAGATTATCACACGTGGCATGCCATTAGATGATGGTTGTAACGTGGGCCACCACTTTTACTGGGACCAATCACCTGGGCTTCTCCTCTCCCATTTGTTATGTGTGATGACCCGCATGATGCGCCCGTTCCCATCGAATTGTTTGAGTTTGACTGCGCTTTCCTCTTGACTTAGAGTGTGTAGCTTATGCACAGGTGTCGGTGAGTGCTCGATTATCGGACTATCCGACCCAGGATAGTAGGGTCTAGGAGTCTGGGTCATGGGTTAATTTTTAGCAAGTTCCAAAATATCGGGTATATCGGCTGTATCGGTATTTTTTTCATGTTTTTTTAATTTTCTTTTGAAATTAATTATGAGGGACCGGTTTAAAGTCGATCTACCCCTGAATCATTCATCAATTCATTCATAAAAATTGATGAATAAATGACAATGATTGTTAGTACTTAGGCTACTAGAAGCCTAAAGTAACTATTTCATATATAAAAAGATTGAAAGCAAAACTCTTAGTTCAAAACGTCCAAGATTGAAAGAAGATTACAAGGAGATCATCCAAAAAGTCTAGGATAGACTAACATGTTGGAAAGCAAAACTTCTCTCAAGCAACCAGGACTACTCTAGTTCAAGTTGTACAACAGGCCATACCATCCTATAAAATGGGGGTAGCCATCACCCATCATGCCATCAATAGTGGCTAAAGAAATTGATGTTATAAATAGAAATTTTTATTGGAAACATGATCATCAGAAAAAAAGGGGTCCAACTCATAGCATGGGATAAATTGTGTAGGCCTAAACAAGTTGGGGGTTTAGGTTTGAAGAGGAGTAGAAATTTTAATTTTGCTTCGTTTAGCAAACAAGTGTGGCGTTTAATGAGCCATCGAAAAGCATTTTGGGTCGAAAATATTAAGAAGAAATATTACCCAAACAATAGCATCAATTCAGCAGCCTTAAAAGCAAATCAATCAAACTAGTGGAGACTAGACTTGTTCATGGGCCGGGCTTGGGCCAGGCTTTTACTCTTCATTAATGAAAATTTGTTAGGCCCGAGCCCGAGCCCGGCCCGACCAATAGGCCTACACCTTGGGCCCGAGCCTGGCCCTAATAAAAAGCCCGAAGCCCGATTGTGTTTGCTGGTGAATGTGTTCGCCGGAACTGAGTTCACGGTGACTGTAGTCTATGAGCTGGGACCAGCGATTTTAAGTTTAACAGTGATCAGTTTGCGTCTGAGAAAGAGAGAGAACTCACTGTCGTCGCCGGTGCCTATATTCGCCGCCTCGTCGTCGCCAATGTTTGAGATTTGAAGGAGAAGTGAGATTTGAGAAGAGGAACGAGAAAGAGAGAGAGAGAGAGAGAGAGAGAAAGAGAAGAGTGAGGACTCACCGCCGGAGTTGTTGTGCCGGTGAACGTTCGCCGCCTTGCCGGTTGTGTGGCTGCCTGAGAATGTGAGGATGAGAACTGTGGAAGATGTGGAGATTGGAGAAGAATGGTTCGACTGGAAAAAGAAAGGAAAGAAGCAAAGAGGTGAAAAAAAGAGAGGGTCTTCGACTAGGGTTTTTAGGTTTAGTTATAGGTCGGGTCAGGCTGGGCTATTTTGACAAATCCCGAGCCCGACTCGAATTTATTGCGGGCCGGGCTTTTTGGCCCGAGGTTAATCCCGTGGGCCCATATGCATGTTCAAGCCCGTCTGAGGGTCGGGCCGGCCCATGAAGCTGTCTAGTGGAGACAAGTTAAAAAAGATAGTTAACAAGCTCAAGACGGGTAGTTGTTGGGCAATTAAAGATGGGGAGTATGTGTATGCATTTCAAGATCCTTGGGTGCCTACTCTTGTGGATGGTATACCAATAAATAACTAGAGGTCCTTTATCTAGGCAGGAGAATAATTTACAAGTGAAGGATTTGTTGGATATAGATAGTACATGGAATATGTCTTTGTTTCATCAACTCCTACCTGCAAATCAAATCCTACATGTAGTCCATATTAATCCATGCAGTTCACTAGATGCAGATACTCTTTTGTGGAAACATAACCCAAATGCCAAGTTTACAACCAAGGCAATGTATAAATTCCTTTAATCAAAATTTGTCACCACAACATCAATTTCACCAGTATGGAAAATGATTATGGAAGGTTAAAGTCCCATTTCGGTTTCAATTGTTGGGAAGGAATCATGGTATCTGAGAAGCAATGGTACCTCCGGACAAACAATCCACTCACATGTGTTTTTTGCAAGGAGACAGAAGAGTCAAGCACTCATTTTTCAAGTGTCCATTTACTAGAGTAATATGGCTCCAGGCACAAATAGGCATCAATCCACACAGCATAACACAAGGCCCATTCATCCATACGATTGAACAATGGATGAAAACTAAAATTGATAAGCTGCCAAAAGAAACTCAACACTATTATTGGGCCACTTTCACTCTCATGATAATGTTGAGACGATTAATCTGGGAAACTAGGAATGACATCATATACCCTGGTGCTAATCCTAATCCTCAGAAGATTCTATCTCAAATTTCTCAGTTTTATATAAACAACTCAAGTTGCAATCCTCTACATCTAGCACAAATTCCGTGCACAGATGGGGCATCATCAACTGATCAATTCTTGATCTTTGTGGATGACTCGTTTATGCCAATTAGTGGCAAAGCAGATGTTGGATACATAATCTTAACTCGTGACTTTCAAACAATTGCAGCGGAAGGCAGGAAATGTTTTATACAGTTGGAGTTGAAGATGCAGAGCTAGAGCTAAGGGGACTCATACAAGCTCTACGTCATGCCAGAAGGCTGTGTTTCAAAGGTGTTTGTATTCTCAGATGCAGAAGCCCTAATCAAAAGAAGAATCAAGGATAGTACATTGGATAATCCTTGTCATTTCCACATACGGATGGATCAACTATGGAAGCTATGGGACTCTTTTTTAGCTGTAAATATTCAGCATATAAAAAGGGGCCTAAATATTCTAGCTCATAAGTCATAATTTAGCTTACTTTGCTTGTAAAATTAAGAAAGACATAGCATTTGTTCGTCACAGCTATGTATATATTGAACCTATAGATGAATGAATCTCCTATGTTTTGCCTTAAAGAAAAACTATTCATATATTGTTGGACTTTGCATGTTAGATGCATGGATCCACAGGTAACGAGAGAAAATTGGGGTTTTGACTTTGTCATTTGATTGTAAAGGCCGATAAAGAGAGTCTGAATCTCCTGCCACATATCATCGCAGCCATACATAGAAAACATCTCATCCTATTATATAGTATTATGCATGGGAAATATTCCCAATAAACGGGTGTAGTGTATTGCGGGTTTACGTGGGCAGAAGATCCGAAATCAGTTAAAGATGCAATTTGAACTTTGAAGTGGGTCGACCTTTAGCCTAGTCCAATATCGAATCCACTCAGTAATCGGGTTGGTTGGAGCAACGGAAATAGCCCTGCTCATTCCGCAAACAAATTACTTGGGAAAATATCACAATCATACGTTTTGTGCAGATCGGGCTCTGCCTAACATCTGATTTTGCTCAGTAATGTGCACATGACTTACCATCGTCAGTCGTCACTGCCGATACCATTGTTCAGTTGTCCTATTCAGTCTCGTGCATGGACCACACAGACAAATAGGAATAGGGGCAACCCCCCTAGCAGGTAGGGATGTTCTTAGAAAAGGGGCGTGCTGGAAAGTTGGAGAAGAGAACTCCATTAGCACCCGGATGACTTGGTTGCAGTCAGTTCCAAAGTTCTTGTCTTATTGATTAGAAGCAAAAAGTTCATGACCTCTTCGACACTACCACTACAGAGAAAATCAACTTGTTCGTTTGTCTACCAATTAGGCTGCATCTGGCATTCCTTATTTTAAAGACTTATCTCCTTTTTGCTATTAAAAACTCAGTGTTAATAGGAGAATTTTAACTACAAAAAAAAAATGAATAAAGTCCTTAAAATAAGTCACGCCAAATGCAGCCTTAGTTGCTTTGCTTTTGGAGGTAAGAGCACTCAAGTTAGGCTTATTAGGCTTAAAACTTATTGATATATGGGCGCTACACAACCCATGGGTAGGGATGGCAATGTTTCCCATCCCCACCGAGTACCCAACCTCCCCAACGAAGAGGACATGGGGATGGAGACTACCTTACCAGGAACATGGTGAGATTAATAGGAAGACCCAATTGAGGACGGGGAGTCCACACCATGTCCTGACCCCAATTATATATTAAATATACATGTACATATATTACATTAAATATATAATATTATTTATATTATATATAAAAATTTATTTAAAATGTTACTTGCATTTTAGTTTTTCCTTTGTTTTAAACAAATACCTTTCTAAAAATACTTTTAATTAAAAAATTTGGGGATTCAAGTCCCTAATGGCAAACCCGTCTCCATCAAGGACCAGGGATGCAGGCAAAATTTTTGCCCAACAAGGATTGGGGTCAAAGACGGGGATTAATTTAAAACTTGGGGTTGGGATAGGGAGTATGATCCTTGTCCATTGCCATTCCTAACCAGGGGGTCATCCCCCAAACCCATAAATATAGTTCCAATAATTATGCTAATTATAAATGTAGTATCCAATACTAATGAAAATTATTAAAATTTTCCAACTATTTATTTGAATAATTGGAAGTCTTATAATTTAATATTCACTAAATTAAGTTACCAAAATCAGTAATTTTTAGTAATTGGACTACCAAAGTGACTAATCATTGCTCAAAAATTATAGTAAATATCAGAATTACTGAAAATATAAAAAATATATATTTATTGAAATTAATTTTCCGCTAAAAAATTACTAAAATTTTTAATTATTATTTGGGAATGCCATTAAATATTAATAGATTGAACAAAATTACTGAAAATATAAATAACTACTTATCACTAAAAAATTACTGATAATATCAAAATTAC